TGCAGCACAAACATGAGGACCTGAGTTCAATACTCAGCACCCACGTAAAAGCCCAGATGTAGCAGTGCACACCACAGTCCCACTGCCGGAGAGGCAGGGACAGGATGGTCCCTGGGGCCCCGCCAGGCTAGCCTCGTTGGTGAGCACTAGGTCCAGTTAGAGAGCCTGTCTCAAAAGGTAGAGGGGACCAGTAAGATGGCTCAGTGAATAAAGCCACTTGCCACCGAAGCCTGGCAACCTGAGATCCATTCCTGACTCTCACATGGTGGAGAAAAATGACTCCCCAAAGTCGTCCTCTGACCTCTGTACCTACACCGTGGCCCATGTGCGTGCATATGTGCACCAACAAACACGTAAATGACTGTAATTACAAAAACAATGTAAAGAGTGACGGCAATGAGATCAGTGAACGCATACACCAGGAGTGCAGATGACATGATGGGGTGGTGGTGGTGATGATGAGCCAGAAGAAGCGCTTACGGAGGAGGGTGGCAGGGACCGGACAGGAGACTAGGAGCAGGGGGAGGAGCTAGGACTGGATCAATGTCTTTCACTAAAAGAATAAAAACAGATAACGGTCACATGACGCTTCGGTGTTTCCGGTGCTGTGCCGAGCACTTAGCGCCCATTAGTCTTCCAATCTTCAACACGCCTACTGGGCGGGCGTTATCATTACCCTTACCGTACTGAAGAGAAGATTCTGAGGGGTTAAGCGACTTGACTTAAAACCTGACAGCAAGTGGCAAGGCTAACATTCCAAACAGGAGGCCCTGGCTCCAGAGGATCCCTCAGCCACGGGGCAATGTTTCTCCTCTGGCATATCGGGAGAGAACTGATCTGGGGCCAGTACATTTACAAATTCAACAATTGGGCCCGTCGTACGTGTTAAGGTGTCAAGAAGACGTTTCTCCCATGGGAGAGCCCCACATTCCCACTATGGACTCTAAGGGCCACAGCCCCCCACTGTGCACTATAAGCAGAGGACAGCCATAAATCCTCAGCGTCACCTGCCACACCCACGCCAGCTTCATTTCCCTCTGCTTCACTTCTGGCCCTGTTCTCACAGGTCATGGCCTGGGCAGGAGTTGGAACAAGAGACCAGGCCAGTCGTGCTGACTTGAGTCCAGAGACCCAGTGGAAAAAGCCAGAAGAAAAGCCTCATTAGACAGACCCCTGGGGAAGGCGAAGCAGGGGCTCCTGGTCGAGGGGGTCTCACCACAGGCCTGGCTGTAAAATACGGAAGTCACACCACTTTGCCCTGAGTCATTCCCTCCCTCTAGCCCTCAAGGAAGGGGGTGATTTCCTGCAAGGCCTTCTGGGCAGCACAGGCTCCTTCCGCAGGGCTGTGTATCTCTTATCTCAGCCCGGCCTTCTTCCATTGGCAACCCGAAGCTGCTGTAATGGGACAGTCTCCTCTTTCTTTGGATTTGGGCCTTCGATTCAGAGGTGACCGATAAGTAGGGCAGCTCAGGAGCCAGCGTGTCCTGTGGAGGACAGGAGACAGCGCACAGGGCACTGTTCCGGTTGCAGCCCTTCAGCCATCTCCCTCGGAGATACTTCTGGAGACTGCTGGTCCTTTTTCCACTTACTAGTGCCACGCCCCTTCTGAGGTGGGTCTTAGACTCAACCTCCAACTTCAAGAAGCCCCCCGTGCCAGGCTTGCAATTCTAGATAGTAAGTAGAGCGAAGGAAAGCCCTTCAAGGTGGTCTTTGGCCAAGGTATCTGTGTAGGAGTTTGTTTGTTTGTTTGTTTTTTAAGATTTATTTATTTTATGTATACAGTGTTCTATCTGCACTGCACCTGCATGCCAGAAGAAGCCATCAGATCCCATTATAAGATGGCTGTCAAGCCACCACGTGGTTGCTGGGACCTGAACTCAGGACCTCTGGAAGAGCTGCCAGTGCTCTTAGCTGCTGAGCCATCTCTCCAGTCCTGTGTAGGAGTTTTAAAAATAGCCTCTGGGGGCTGGAAAGAGAGCTCAGCGGTTAAGAGCACTTGCTGCACTTCCAGAGGACCAGAATTCTGTTCCCAGCATCCCTGTCAGGCAGCTGGCAATTCCAGTTCAAGGGGATTCCATGCCTCCGGCCTCTGTGGGCACCTGCATCCACATGTATATATCTACATGCACACACACACACACACACACACACACACACACACACACACACACATCTACATGTAATTAAAAATAATACTTGTTTTAAAAAAATAGCCTTTAGAGACAAACAGGTCTCAATTCAAGTCTCAGTCCTCCACTTTCACAGGGACTCTAGACGACTCCTTTACTCCTTCTGAGGCTGGCTTCTCTTCTGGAAAGAGAAGGACAAGGGTGCCACAGTAGAGCTATGGTATGATATGTGCATTACCATAGTGCTGTCAGGGAGCAAGTGTTTGTTTCTGGAAGCTGAAAGATAAGGATAAAAGAGGGAGTCACCAGGAAGGGAACACTCCCACCCACTCCAACCCTTCGGAGAGTCCCTTCTCGGGACTCACATTCCCTAGCTAGGGTAGTGACAGTAT